AGTAGACTCTCCATTCCTTAGCTTGAAGATAATTAGTGCCTTGGATCTAAGCCCGGATGCCTCTGTTGTATCATCTCTGGACTAAGAAGAGAGAGATAGAGAGAGAGAGCGAAACGTTGCCTGGGTTATCTACTGACCTTGGCTTTGGGCCGCAATGGTTGCTAGCAGCAGGCTGAATGGGACAGTGGCATCCCATCCGGATTGCACCCTCGGACACGATTACAAAGACTTGCTTGCCTGAATAGCCCCATGGATTTGGGCCATTGAGAAGCTTGGCAGACAAAGTCGAGTCGTACGGACTCCCACCCCCTGCCCAGAACACCTCATCTCTGTTTCCTGGTCCCTTTGCTTAAGGATGGCTTGGCGAGTGGAAAGTTTCCTACCCTGCGCCCTCGGTTTCTACACGCCCGGGCATTGTATCCTTTGCAAAAGGACCGCCGAAGCAAAGTAAAGCAGCAGGCCTGCCCGAGAAGGCGACTGGGGGTCTCCTAGAGCTCCCCACACAATTCAATGTGCCTTTACCGTTGTCTCAGAGTCTGCACAACCCATTTGCTCACGCTTGGAGCCCCCCCCCCCCCCCCCCCTTCCCCGCCCTGTCTTTTCCGACTTTGTCCTCTTTGCTCCTTGCTCCTTGGACTTATGGGATATCGGCAGTGTGCTTGGGAAAACCCAGCTGCTCTGTTATTGCTTAGTCTGTGCGACATGTGCCGAGAAGTCAGTCGCATGTTGAGCCTCTAACCATTTTTTGTTGCTTCTGTGCAATCTCGAACCAGCCACATCTAGGGGTGGGTTCTCATGGCAAGGTATATAGACACCGGGTTTCCATGATCCTGCACTTTCCCAAGCTTCTCGCAAACCCCGACTTGACCAATTCCATAGAAACCGAGCAACTAGAGACAGTGCCCAAAAATCATTGTCATACACAAAACCCGGCCGCGGGAACACGTTAGAAACTCTTTACAGTCACCGCCAACATACTACATACCCCCACCGATTCAGTACTCGAAGCAGCACGCGTCTTGGCAAATCAAGCCCGATATTTGAACGCCTCGAGAAAGTTGACCGGCAAAAGAGGAATTCCAAAAACAAACAACCAAAGAAAAGAGTAAGTCACGCCAACATCTCTATCTCTCATGACTAGTGTTTAGCTCCCTTCTCGGAGAGGGCCATTCCCTGGCGAGTCGTGTGTAGCGAGCGGACCCGAGACGATTTGCACCAGGGGGGCCACTGGGGAAGATCCATCTCGCCGGTCCCCCCCCTCCCCCGCGGCAGAATCCGGTTCGCCTCCATTACGGGGCTGCCATCTGACTAGCCAGGCGGGCCATTGTCGATGCAACGGCGACAGCGCCGTTCGGTGTGGGGAAGCCAGAAGCTAACGGTCGTCCAGGTGTACCTTCTATTCTACTGCGCTCTTCTTCCTGCGAGTAAGTGAGGACGCGTCCCATGGGGTTTGAGCAGCATGCACAGAAACGACCCGACGGACCTGTACCAAGGCGGAATAGGCGTCGGAGGCACATGCAGGCGGAACAGCTACTCAATGCGCGTCGTAGTGGACGACGGGCAAGTTCAGCTAGGAGAACTTGCCATTGTTTATCTGCAGCGCTGACCACCACGATCATGGGGCTTATCGTGCGGCGTGGTACGCGCGGATCAATGACGGCGGCGTCTCCAAGGCGGTTGAGCATGCCGGCGTTATGGGTCACGATAAACGAGCTTGTCTCCATCAGACGGTCAGATACAGAGAAAGTCGGTCCCGTTGCTGACAGCAGAATCACGTCGCCTAGGTTGAGCAGGATAAAGAGCTGCAAGCAACTCCTTGGCATGACAGGGGCACTTTTGGAGAGTCAAGCGCCGGTGAGTGTCGAGAGCCCCGTACCCCCCATTCCTCCGGTCAAGGTTGCAGTTGTTGTGAAGGGGCAGAAGAGAAGAAGAAGAAGAAGAAGAAAAAGAAGATTTGGGGCATTTGCTAACATGGACGTGTGTTGTGGGCAAAAAAGAGGATCGAGGAGTTGGGGCGTCCGGACCGTTGCTCCAGTGCCAGCACCAGCACCAGTACCAGTGCAAGCATCAGTACCCGATCACCGCCCCTCTACTACGGCGCGACACCCCTCGCCGCCGGAGACGACCGTCGTATGAATCCTCAACAGCTGGCCAAGGTACCGTACCCCCCTTAGATTCACTCCTCTTCCGTAATCTTGTCTCTCTCTCTCTCTCCCCCCGTTTCTGTGCATTACCTTGCCTTGCCTTGCCTTGCCTTACCTTGCCTGATTACTCTCTTCCCTGCAATACTACTACTACTACTACTACTACTCAATCGACGCTTTCTTTTCCCTTTGCCTATCCTCGCCGCCACCCTCCTTCCCCTCCATTCAACTCCTGCAATCGCATCGCGAGGCTGTGCCGGACCAACAAGACGACTCCAATCGCGACTGTTGCTGTAGCCGTTGCCGTTGCCGTTGCTGCAATAAATCAACAATGGACCATTCAGTCGTCATTCGGCCTGTCTGATAGATGCACTTGAGCGGGCGCCCCGCTCTTCTCGTCGGTCGGAGGCCTCGATCTGCATCTGCACGTTGCATCGGCAGCGCGGTCCAGCATATAAACAACCACCGTCATTGAGATATAGCCCGTGCCTGCACATTCCAAGGCGTGGGAGAAGAAGAGAACAAAAGGCACGAAACCAAACAACACGCCTCCAACGGGTGGCGTACCTAGACAAGGAAGGGCAGGCGAGTTGAGGACTGGTCTAGGCCTCGTCCCTGGCCCTCTGAGTTTTTGCGCCTGTCCACGTTCCGAGGGACTGGCAGGCAAGGATACGGGCCGAGTGAAGCTTCGAAAAAAGAAAAAAAAAAAAAAGGTACGTACGCAACTCGACGCTCATTTCTTTTTATTTTTCATGTCCACCTTTGCACATTCATCTGTGGTAGCTCCGTGTTCATTTTTGTCTCACTTTTCTCTCCCCCCACTCTCTTCCTGCCCATCTCAAATCACTGGCTTCTTCCCCTTGGGATTGCATGCCAACAGAAGGAAAAGCCGTCAGAATCAGTGCGTCCCTTGTGGAACAATTCGGACGGGATCTCAAGAGGAAAATGCATCTACGCATCTGGCAGATGATTTCACACTTCTGGCATGTCTTTGTTTCATCTCTTGGAAGACCTCAGTCCTCCTTGAAGCCTGGAGAGATGAGAAATACAAGACCAGGAGACGCCCAATTCCACACCAGTGTCATGTTCCCGACATCCCAAGCGGCGCTTCCAGCCATGAGACATCTCCCACGCTCCCGCACTCGCTTCCGAGGTGGACGTGAGACGTGTGTATTTGGTGTGGGATAAGAGGAGAGAGAGAGGTGGGGGGGGGGGGCAAGGGGGATGGAGGGAGAGAAAGAGAGAGAGAGAGTGTGTGTGTGTATGCTTGGCCGGTTTACACTGCACGACTTGTCATCTCTCGCCCTTCTGCCAGCTCACTTGACTGCCTGCAAAGTCATGCACGCAAGAAAGTACACTGTGGTGTCTGGTAGTATTGGATTGTACCTTGTCTCTCCCATGTTGCCTCCTCTCTTCACCTACCTCCCCCCTCCCCCCGGTCATCTGCTCTTGACACTGCTGCTGTCGATGCTGATGGTGCCGGTGCTGATTGATGCTCATGCTGCTGTCGCCGCCGCCGCAGCAACTCCTCATCGGTCGGGCTCAACAAGACCCAGGCCCAGATCGGTCAACAACCACCCCCTCTTTCTTCTATCTTCTCCCCTAGTTTTCATTCACGCAGGTTGCCTCCTCATTAAAGATGCTATTCCTTGGTTCTTCCTGCTAACTTCCCGCAGTCGTTGCGCCGCAGGTCACTCGTCTGTCACTTGTCTGGGCATGCTCGCGCCTGAGACAGATTGCACACACGCCTCTCTGCAGCAGCTATAGCTTCCTGGACGCAGCAACGGCACAGCCTCGAGTTCATTTTACAAACCCTCATCACCATTTCCCCCATTTGTTTCTCTGGTGGGAGCCATGATCTGACTAGTGCCGCCGTGCAAATAGGAGTTCGAACCATCCACGGGATATGACTACCTCGACATACACGCTTCTAGCAGTGACATGCGGTACGTAAAAATTATGTTGGTCTTAATGGCCGACGGGGGAACTATGGTTTATTGTTTCTGTTGTTTCATCTCCCGTCCCCTTCCCCTGCCAGGGCTGCAATGTGTTATTCTTCTCGACTGTGCACCCCCCAAGCCCAACCGTTTAGCAAGTGCAACTTTACAAGCTTTGTGGAGAGACAGACCTTCTCGACTCGGCACGCTCTGTTCTGGTCGGTGTCCCAGCCTATCGGGGTGGTATGCCTCGAGCACGGGAAATACGTAAGTCGAAGCGAGAGGTCTAATCTTTGCAGCGGCATCAAGAAAGACGGACAGGTGTGTGGGTAGCTGCCTTTTGGTAGCCATCGTCCAACTAGAAATCCGCGGGCGTCCCCGCCTATCGCCGATGGACGGTGGTGTGGTGTGTCATCGCATTTCCTGATCCTGTATCGGCTGGCCGTTGTGCAACACACTGCTGGCAGTAGGACGAACTGGTAGCACTGACACTGTGTCTCGCATGTGGACGCGGTACAGCAGTTGTCGTGCCAGGCTTCCAACCCTCTGCTTTGTACACAGCTTTCAAATTCGGAGGGGGCCGTTCGGGCTGACGGGAAACGTTAGATACGAACACAACACCAATGCTTCTCTGTCGACGATCGAAGGCCCTTCGCAACAGCCGACGCTCTTAAACCTGTTCAATCCACCTATAACCAACGCGACTCCGTACTCCGCTGACGCCAACTTCTATCACCCAACTGCCCCTCACGTCTTTCCCAGCCTGGACGTCAGGCCTCGCCTGGGCTCAAAGTAGGTTGCGCACTATCCCATCCCCCCCCCCCCCCCCCCCTTTATTTTCTTTCCTTTTTCCTTTTCCCCTTCCCATATACTGGCAAGTACAAGACATGGTTTTGTCCTCTCCCGTCAAAGATGAACCATGATCGAGTTCACACACTTACCTGACAGCAGCACCTCTTCGGCGGGCATGGCACATGCCCATCGCTCCACAGCATTACCGCATCCTGGCACACACATCACCGCTCGAGATCAGTATTCCCCGGCGACGCCATCTTACAGGAGGGTGTCTGAGCACCAGCCTAGATCTCCATCGTACCCAGCCGCTCTACGACACCATCCCATATCTCCGACTTCCAGCCCTATCACCGGCTTCAACGCACCCGCTTCCCTGAGAATGGATCCAGGCCATTACACCTCGTCTCCCTCTCGGACACAGACGAGTGTGCCTCCGCTGAGCCCCATCACAAACCTCGGCATCCTCCAATACACGGATGGCATGCAGGTCAAGGTCGACATCCACGGCAACATCGACAAGGGCTTCTTCCAGTCTGACGGCGATTGGACGTGTTATAGGAGGAACTACTTCTCCTGCATTTGCTCGTTCGGACTGACTCCACATTATCCCGGCCAGGTTTTGCAGTTCACTCAGCAAGGCTCAACGCAGCCGTACTCTGTCTTGGGCTTTGCCATGTCTATCTCGGCCGTCGTCGCGGAGAACGACTCCCATACGATCGAACTGGTCCAGCATACGCCCAAGAGGGACAAGGGCCCGATTGAGAAACCTGGTAAGGTGCGCCTTCACCCGAAGCATCCTCAGATGTCACATCCAATGGGTCTGTACCATAGCGACTCTGGGCTTGGAGGTCTGTCGAGGATCGGGTTCCCAGACAGCGGGGGCTATGGTGGGCAACAGGGCGGCGACCCATATCAGACGGAACATACTTTCGAGCGCATCCAGTTCAAGCAGGCGACAGCGAACAACGGAAAGAGACGGGCTGCACAGCAGTACTACCACCTGCTCATCGAGCTTTGGGCGGACATCGGGTCACAGGGCCCGGACAACTTCATACGGATCGCGTACCGGAAGTCGGCCAAGATGATTGTGCGCGGCCGCTCTCCAGGTCATTACCAGAGCGAGAGGCGTGCCAGCACCAGCAGCGGACCAGGGGGGTCAGGTGGTAGCTTCACGGGGTACCCGACCAACTCGATCATCGGATCCGACTTTGGGGCCGCTGGTTCTATGGTGGGGGGAGGCTACACGCCAGGGTTTGATGCCCGCGGGAACACTCATTACGGGTCGACTCGTCACCACCCCGAGCTGGAGCACATGTTATCTCCTGAAGATGCGAAAGCCATCGAGACCACGAAGGACTACCAGTATTATCCCGGCGCCATGTACGACGGAACTGATTCGAGAGGGGTAGACATGTTCGACCACCATCGACATGGACAGGACAACATGGTACCACAGGTCGGTTCAAACTACGGTTCACTCCACGATAGAGTCAAGCGCGACCCCGAGATACTGCCAAGCATTTTCCAGCCCGGAACGCTCATGTCGACTCAAAGATGCGGCCCCTTCGAAGGCAAACCGACTTCCAGTGGCTACTACCCGGCCATGGCTCCGCAATCCGGAGTCAACGTCACAAACTTGACTTGAGCCCAGATGAAACACCTGGATAGACCCCGGGGTCGCTACGACGAATCACAATCCTGGACGAGACGAGCACCACGGCAGCATGCACTACACTTGGGAAGGACGCGGGCAGAATTCGCGATCTGCCCAACGGTCGTCCTTCCTCTGGGCAGTCTTATTCCGGGTTCACTTCCCGAGGACATCAGAAATTGGGCATAAAACTTGACTACGAGATCTTAACGTATGGGGGAAAAGCAAAACACGCGCATCAGTGCCGCGATACCAGTCCATGCCCGAACATGACTGACTGTGTGTGGGGGGAAGAAGGGTAAATACAAACCAAAAAGAAGGGGGAAAAAACCAAAATCAGGGATCAACGGCGAACCGGCGCGTGGACAAAAAGAGACGGGATAACGTGTGGCTTTGGAATATGAGGGGAACAGAAGGGAGGTCGGCCCAGTATATCCGACATGGACGCATCACGGGACGGAAAAGTTTGGAAGAAAACAACACACGCATGCCGGCCAGGGGCCATGACTGGGTACGGTGAATGATAGGCATTGTTAGGGATACCCGCCACGCACTTCCTTGGCCTTCTGGTTTCTTGTCTCTTGTTCGGATTTTCTGTTTGTCTTCTTTCCTTGGATTATTATTACCTTGTTTGTTGGGGCCTCTCCTTCCATTGTTCGCTTCGATGGTCATGCAGTGTTTGTTTCTTGTAATAACCCGAGAGGATACGGAACATTCGCTTCAACAAAGATAGCCTATTCGTATTGGTCTTATCACTTATGGGAGATACCAGGCAACACGAGAGGTGGGACAGAGAGTAGCAGTCGCGAGATGGGAAATCGGCCGGTCAAAGGAAAGCAAACACATGCGCGCGCACGTGCGCACGGAGAGAAAGACGGAAAGTGGAAGGGGAGCTGAAATGCGCGCTGCCACGTTGGAGAGCCAAGTACTGGGGAAGCAGCGGCAAATGTGCCGGTGTCATGACGGTTGTTGTTGTTGTTATTGTTGCTGTTGTTGTTGTTTTGTTTTATCTTATTCTTCTGTGTTTTTACTTTTCAGAAATCTACCAAAGTTACAAACCCCTGGCACTCCTCGACAATAACAACAACAACAACAACAACATTCTATCCTTCACGGGGCATGGATTTGGACACACACTTGACACCTCCCCCGCTCTACTCCCCCATCCCCACGCACGATCACCGCAACAGCCCCATTCCGGTCCGCATGACCGGCCCATGTTTGCTTACTTGTTTGTCTGTCTGTAATTCAGAGCAAGGGTCCAAAGGTCACGGGCTCCACCGGGCGCTAGCCACCCTCAACAGAGTGGGTGAGTGATGGAGGAAAGCCAACGACGGCTATGGCTGGGACGCCACGATGTGAACGTGGAAAAGCAAAATAGGCAGGGGTAGATTCGAGAAGGGCGCTACGCTTGCCCTGTGGAGCCTTTGCAATGCCAGCAAGAAGAGAGAGACACAGAGAGATACACTCAGAGAAAGGGGGGGGGGAGAGAGAGATAGTGGCTAGTGGCTAGTTTGCAATTCCCTTGGACGGCTTATTCCATCTCTCCCCTCTTCCAGCCATGCCAGCCACTACGCCCCCTCCCCCCCCCTCTCTTTTGTACCATGTAAACAAACCAATTCCGGTAGGCTTGGCCTAAGAATCCCCATCTATCCTCAATCGGATGAGGGGAGGCGGCCTCAGATTGCGCGAGGACGGTGGGCAAGGCCGGCAAGAGATTTCGGCACCGATCTAGAGTCCGCTAGCGGGCGGTGTGACATCAACAAATGGTCTGGGGTTGGGCTCCAAGGGGGTTGAGTGTGAGTGGTCGGGGCTGGCGGGCAACCTGGGCTTGGTATTTCCTCTTTTCTCTCTTTTGCTTTTTCAAGAGGGAGGGAGAGGAGAGGGGGGGGGGCTCTTCTCCTCCCTCTTGGATGTCTGGCATAAGGCCATGCATTGAGACACGGCTTGTAGATATACAAGGCACGGCACATGGGCATACAACCAAATGACGGGAGAGGAAGGGGGACGGGGAGGGATGGAAAAAGAGGGGGGGGGGACTTTGTCAGTATTCGTATCACGGGAAACGGTTACTACATGATTCCCGCCGATATGGTACTATACGAACCTTGTCGGAACACAGCATGAACACACGGGAAGGAAATAGGGGTGGGGTTGGCAGGGGTGGAAGGGGAAGACGATGCAAGAGGAGGAGGGAGAAATGGATTCTTAAGAGGCGAGCTTTGCGCGGTGCGGCGCAGGATGGCTGAAGTGTGCAAGAGGGGGAATCGCCAGACGGATAGCACGCCGGTCACATGGGTGACATTCTCGAGGGAGGGGATGAAGGTCCTTTGCGTCTCGCATAGATTGCAGAAACAAAATGCACTTATAAGCTCGACAGCCGAATGGGAAGAGAGGAGAGGCAGGGGAGGGAGGGGATGTGTAGCTGAAGATGCTGACCCAGAGACAGGGGGGGCAAAACAGCGAGGGAGAGGGCTGCCTCTCGGATAGTCGCCTCTCGGATAGCTGTTGTGTGGCAGAGAGAGCACACCTCATAGCTGGAGTCGCACGGCGTCGGCGGTCCTGATAGTGTACCCTTGTGATGAGGTTTTGTGTGTGGCGGGTTTGGGAAAAGGGGAGGAGGGGGGGGGAGGGGTTTGTCGGATGGCAACCGGTTGGTTCTCGGGTCCGTATGTCCGTATGAAGAGTTGTGCAACGTTCCCGGCTGTTCGGTTCGCCGAACTGCCCCTTGGCTTGGTGATACTAAGCTTGGAATCGTACCATGTATTGGAAACTTACGTTGGTTCGTATGAGGTGCGTTATGTAATTGATGTGATGGAAGTACGACCTGAAAGTTCTCCTTCAAAAGAAAAGATAGCATCAATTGCTTCGCCAGGTCAACATACCCATGAGCAGGACAGCCAAAAGAAAAAAAAGAAAAAAACAACAACGTGCAAATGCCAAGGCGGCCGGAGCTTTTGAACAGACTCGGTGAGGAGGAAGAATTTGAAAGTGTGAAATGCATGTCTTGGATTTATTTGCCCCCGCCTCCCTTTTCTCTCCGCCCCCGTCCGTCGTCCACCTCCCGTGGCTCTATTCGGTCGAGATCCCCGGGGTGACCGTCAGGACCTCGTCACTGGCTACCAAGCGTCATGTACGTGTCGGGTCGCTGTGTAGGTCGAGTTTGAGCTGGCTCCACCACCATCCTGGCTGATGTCCAATTAAGGTTTTCGAGTGACAGTCCGGAGGGAGAATTTTTGCACGGACGTGTTTTAGGCTCGAGCCTAGCGGAGACAACGGAAGGTTTTTTTTTTTTTTTTCCTTCTTCTTCTCTCGTTTGTTTCTCTATTGGTGAGGAGAAAGAGGGGGTGCTAGAAAAGTGCGACCGGGCGGAGGAATAAGAAAACATGTGGGAAGCGGAACGGCGTTTTGGCGGTGGGCCCCAGGCCTGGACTATTCATCATAGACTTTGTCTCTGTTGGCTGACGAAGACGCGCTAATTGCGCCGGCGGCAGAGAAGGAAAATGCAGCTCAATTCCGCCAAGATGGATTGGGAGAAGACAGATGTCTGGGAGGAGACGGTTCTATAGCGCGTCGAATTTATTCAAGACAGACAGACAGGCAGGGCCTCCTGCCGCGCGTTGAGCCACTGGGCCTAGCAACGACCCTTGCATTGTGTGACGGTGATGCGATCGGGTTCCTAGGTTGGGTTGGGTTGGTCGAGCATTCAATAGGCAGGCGATCAATGGTGCCAGGTTCAGAAACGAAGTGACCATCGAGAGAACGGGCGATCGACTTGCAGACGACGAGCAGATAATAATGGACGGTGGACGGTGGACGGTGGACGATGAACGGCGGACGATAAACCGACTGAGAGGCGCCGGCGATGCAGGCCAGGGCTGCAGACGGGGGGGGGAGGGATACCTACAGTACCTATTTGGGGATGGACAGGGGGCGGAGATGGTGCACAGTGCGCCGCCGTTGGGCCACGACCCTTCACCGAGACGGCCCGGATGTGGGCCTATCAAGGCCGGGTGTGTGATCGTCCGATCGATGCAATGCCGCTGCCTTGCCTTTCTGCCCTAGGCAGAGAATCCCTCTCGGATCTTGACCTCACCCCATCGCTCTTTACCCACCGTCTGTCTGTCTTCCTCTCTCTGGCCGGTTTTCGACCGCGATGCCTGCCTACCGGTACACTACCTACCTTACATCCTCCATCCCTCTGGACCCTTCTAGCCGTCATCGCTTCCGTCCCCCTGGTCCGGCCCGGACATCCCTTGCTTCACCAACCCTCAACTGAACGGCACGCGCCGAGGCGACGCCCTGTCCTGAGACCCTTCACCGAGAGGCACTGCCGTCTTACATCGCTTGCCGACCATGGCACTCCGGGAAAACACCACAAAGTCTAGTGATCGGCAGGTATCCCGCCAATGCCCCTCTCCTCCCCTCCCCTCCCCGGAGAGGGGCTGTCTCTCGTCAGCATCAGGCCCCCTCCCCTTCCTCGAGTCTCAAGAGCCGTGTTGAAGTGACACAATTAAATCTCTCTCACTCAGCCTTGCTGCCCGCCGCTCAGAATTCCCTCCGCCCTCCCTTCTCGGCACACCACCCTTGCTCGCCTTCTGGGGAATATGCGGTCGAGCTGATGGCCCACGCTTCCGCCTTATCATATGAAAACTATCCCCTAATGAACCCATCATCGTCTCGTCACTTGCCGCCAAACACCGCGCCGTATTGCAAGGTCGCACACCAGTTATTACTCTCTTTGCCGCCACTCCGTCAGCCGAGCATGCCGCCTACCGAGATATCTCGAGCCGATGGCTCCCCACCCGGCGACGAGACCCCCAAGCCAAGCCATATGAAACCGTCTGCTATTTCGTGCTAGGGGGTCGGTTGCGCTACCTCCCCCTCTCTCGCTCCCTTCTTCGTCCCGCTGTCGTTGTCTTCGGCTCGCCTCCTTGCCTAGCGCGAGTGCAAAAGGGCTCCCCTGGGGGGGAGAGGGGGGCGGTACTCTTCGTAGATGTCTGTACGGCTTCTCAGCTTCTCTCGGCTGTGTCTGGCACGTTGTCTCGACAAGGATGCGGGAATACGTCCAGATCTCCCTTGATTATGCCTCTCACTGGTTGTCGCGTTTGTGCCATCCCCCTGCCCAGGTGCCGGGCTCGACACCTACAGACTTAAGATTTGACTCCCTTCAGAGCTCGCCGAACAAGTCGCAAGCCACGCCACAGTCAGCCCCGTCAGAGCCTGTTCCCTGCTTCAGAGTCAGATGACTTGACGATTATCTAGTGCTGAGCTGCTAGGCATCATTGGGTAGGGGCCCGGCCTAACGATATCTTCGTTATTCCGCCGGTCCACTGCAGCGGGCATGTGCGGCGTACGTCATGAACAACTCTGCATGCTTGCCCTCCCGTCGATCCTTGTCGTGGGCTGGTCCGAGATGGTGGGTTTCGTTGGAGTGAGCACTAACTCGGCAATGTAACGTTTTGCTGTGGCTAGAGTGACGGTGGCCCGGGCCAGCGCTGCCGCGCAGCACCTTTTGACTGATTTCCGATCTGGCCACCAACGATTGCAGCCAAACGTTGTATCGATGGGCTGGGTACCAGTGCTGTACGCCGGTTCCGCGATGTCGACACACTTTCCCCGTCTTTTTTCTGCTCCATAGCCTGTCCCACCGACTAAACAAGCACAACTCGCCCACAGAACGCAGGTGGGATGTGGTATCGTGATGACACACATCATGGCGCTACTCATAACGACGAGGACTAGAGAACGTAGCAAAAACATATCTGCTTTCAGTTTCCAAGCGGTAGTACAGGAATATACCGGCCAGGGTCGGCACATGCCAGGTTTCCGAGCTCCGGCAACAATGCACGTTAGGGGTGCCTACGGATGGTTCTAGTCATGGTCATAGACAGCTCAAGGTCTTCGATCCGTTATATCTCAAAGTTTGGGCCCATAGTTTGGTATTGAGACCTCCGACGTCTATCGGTGGCCGTTGGTTTTCGCTGAGGCGTTGATCATGGCGCAAAGCTTCTTTCTAGATCGCAAGACAGAAACCGTCTGGGCAGACCTGCATCACCTCTCATCTTCTAAGTTTCCGTATTAGCTGTCCGTGGTCTTCCAAAGTGCCATGCTCCTCCGGGGGACTGCCGCTGAAACCAGAGATACCAGCCTTGAGATCCAACCTTTACCTCTATTCTGACATCTTTTAGCCTCTAAAATACTGTGCCTCGATGAATGCATTCTGAGCTTGTCATAATCTACAGGATCTGTTTCGCGGGTTTGGCTCGTATCCAACTTTATACCTGAAGCTTGCCATATTCGTTGACAGGCAGACACTAAGTGTGTCACTTGAGGCATGTCGCCCTAAAGGCAAGTCGCTTTGCAATTGTTCTTTGCTCTAGCAATGCATTCGCCGTTTTGGAAGTAAACACAGCCGAGCCCAAGGGGAGACTTGCACAGGAGTCTCCGTGAGTGCTGAGGCGACCGTGTCTTGTAGCGGCGACCCTGTTGGAAGACCGTGAAAGGGGTTTGTGAGGCTGTGCCTGGTATATGGCTGAATGAGCTCGACCGTCAATTTCACTACGGGTTTGGTTTCTTCCAGCCTCAACCAGGCATCAATCAACACCGACTCGAGCCGTCTGGCTTGATACTTGTGGCCAACACCTCGATGGTCAAGGACAAGGGAATTACAAAGCAGCACATGGGCTTCGTGGCTTGGGCTTATTTTGTTGTCATTGGACGATTTAATGGCATCTATTCGGAGGGAAAGTGAAGCATGTGGGTAGATAAGCTGTTTCTCTCTTCCTTCAGCAAGAGTTGCTCGTAAATGACCTCTGTTCTGTGTAGATGGCCATGAAGGGTCATGGTCGAAATTCGGAACGGCTCGATTTGTGCCAAGAGAAAGAGGAACTCGATTTCCTTTTGAGCGAAGAACTAAAGGGATTAGGTAAAGAGCCAACCGCGATGAATGGCTGCTATCGTTCTACTGTATACGGAATATGCCTTCGAATCCTGATGCTCAAGGCGTGCTTCGACTTCACGGTGCCGGACTGTTCAAAGAACTCGAGAAGACAGCCCGGTCTATTGAGGCTTTTATTGCAGTCCCCAGCGTTGTGAACTAGTCCCGGAAATTCATCGCTAACCCGCGCGTGTGTTATTACAAGTTCCTGCTTTTCATCCGCTGCCCCGAATCCGCTCAATGCCTGTAGATGGCATCCGCCATCTTGACAATTTGACACATTTCAACGGCGTCGTGGACTCTCACAATGTCAGCTCCACCCTGGACAGCCGAGACAACCGTCGCCGCCGTGCCCCAGATACGCTCCTGTGGCTTCGATACGCCCGTGACCTTGCCTACGAAACTCTTCCTGCTGGAACCAATCAGCCAGGGGAAACCTTCCAGGCCCGGCCAGGAGCGAAGCTCGTCCATATGACGCAGGATCTCAAGGTTCTGAGCCCCCGTCTTGGCGAAACCCAGTCCCGGATCGAGGATGATGCGCCAGCGACGCACGCCCGCCGCCTCCGCCTCGGCAACGCGATCGAGCAGCTCACGCGCAATGGTGGGGACCAGCCCGTCGGGATAGTCCGTCAGGGAATTCATGGTGGCGGGTGTGCCGCGCATGTGCATGAGGCAGACGGTGCGGTTGCTGCGGGCCATGGCGCGGAACATGTCAGGGTCAAGCTGGCCGGCCGAGACGTCGTTGATGATGTCTGCGCCGGCGGCAACGGCGGCCTCGGCCACGGAGGCGCGGTAGGTGTCGACGCTGATGGCGATGTGGGCAAGCTCCGGGAGGCCGCGGACGAGCTTGATGACCGGAAGAACGCGGGCGAGTTCTTCATCCGCGGGGACCTCGGGGCGACCGGGGGCGGTGGAGCAGCCGCCGATGTCGACAATGGTAACGCCAGCCGCGGCGAAGGATTTGAGGGTTGCGACGAGGTTTTGGGGGTTGTGGACGCCGCCGTCGGAGAAGGAGTCTGGGGTGGCGTTCACAATGGCCATGACATGGGTTTGGCGGTTGGGGGAAAGGGAGGCCAAGGGGGGTTGAGAGGAGGAGATGGGGGTCAGCGAGGAGAGGGGTGCTGCCGATCGGGGCAGCTCGTTGAGGTAATCCAAAGTGAGTTTCCACGGGTTGGAGGCGTAGAGAGGCTTCTCCGGGATAAGTCTGTCGAGTGTTAGTGGATGGTCGCGAGCAAAGGATGAGAGACGTGCTCGGCCAGGGGTCGGAGGACAAACTCCCTCTCAGGGATGCCAACGTGAGGGACAGTGAGGCGAGGATGCTCGACTTTCTCGTCACCATACAGGAGGACGTCGAGATCAATATTACGCGGACCCTTGTCAATGATTTTCTTACGACCCATTGTACGCTCAATGTCCTGGAGCTCATCAAGAAGAGCCAGCGGCTCAAGTTCGGTCTCGACCTGCATCGTTCGATCAGCCAAAGCTCAACCGATCGAATTCGCATGGCGCTTGATAATCGCAAAATGGGCATGAGAGGCAGGGAGTGCGAGTGTCTCGTAAGGCCAAGGAACCACTGACCTCGCAGACGCCATTGACGAATCTATCCTGCTCTAGAACATACATGGGCTCCGTCTCCCACAGGCTGCTGGTGCGCTTCACCTTGATGCCGCGACGGTCCATTTGAGCACATGCCTGCTCGATCCAGGCAACACGGTCGCCAAGGTTGCTGCCGAAAGCCACGTATGCGGTCCTCGGACCCTTGGGACGGGCGGCGGCGCCGTCACGGGCGCCGCCGCCGCATCCACCGTTGCCGCTGCAGGCACACCCGCATGCCGACCGGGTCTGGCCGGGGGCGGTCATGATCGACGACGGCGCCCGGCGGGTTGTGGTGGTAGGACGGGAGGGGGAAAAGCGGCCGAGGGCGGCGGGACTGAGAGCGGACGAACTACTGCTGCAGCAGTGCGTGGGCAAGGGGGTTGTGCAGGAAGCTGATGCTGCTCTCGTCGTGGCCTGGTTCCGGACAAGTCGCGGTATTAAGGTATGACGACGCGCATTGTTGCTCCGTGCTAGGGCACACACTCGTGAAGAAAAGGAAAAAGGGTGGCGGAGGGGGATCGGGGGTTTCATCATGGGAAAGTCGACAATGCGCTGCGTGCGCCCACACGCCCCAATATGAGTTTGTCGTTGAGGGTCACTGAGGGGAGAAAGAATCTTGTTTGGCAGCCAATGAGGTTTCGGCGCGGTGGTACTCTCAGGTCCAGCAATGAATGCTTAGGTAATTGGGCCAGGGTGAGGGACGTGGGAGATGCGCGTAAAGTGAGTGGATGCGGCGCGCGACGGGTCAACATTCTCTCTCCACCCTTGGCACACAGTCCGTACATGTCGTCAGGGTCTGGACCGCTGCACTGTTGTTTAGGTGTCGTTTACAATGAGTTTGGAGCTGCCTGAACCATGAAATGATTCGGAACAATACGTACGAGGTCATACCCAACCGCTCTGGAACGGATAATACCGGTTATTGACTCGGGGCCCGTAGCATATGATCCGCGTATCGTGAATTATGGTGGATCTGTAGACCGTGTCCGAGAAAAGAAAAAAGAAATAAACCTTGGGACAAACGTTTGAGAGGAGAAGACTCCCCGCAAAGCTGCATCCTAGAGATGGCGGATCCGAATGCGATGATGAATCACTAAAAGATGCGTAAACGACTTATGCTTTTGTTTGTAATTGGTGAACATACGGATACTGTATGTCCCGCTTCTCGCTTTGCTCCGGGCCTGGTCCTCGGCATCTTTCCCCAGATCCACCCCACTGGGCCTCTGCGCCTTACCTGAAATAGCTTAGGTGCCCAGGTCACAGGCGAACCTCGGTCCAGCAGGGTGCGCATGGCAACGCTACTCCGCCCCTTCTTCCCCAGAAACCATGCTTCCTTTGATACCGCCGCCAGAACCCTTTTAACCAGATCCCTTCTCCCCTCTCCAAACCCTTCCGTTCCTTTCCCTCCGTTCGTCCACAAAACCCTCAGTCTATATCTAAATTTCTTGTACCGCTTCGCCATTTTAATATACCCAAACCTCCAAGTGTCAGCCCATACAGTAAATCAGGCACAATGGCTTCCCCTCGTAAGTCCCGTCGCACCACTTCCCACTCCGCTGTCACATGCGAGTCGAGTCGCGACACTGGCCGCAAGAAAGAAATCGTAAGCTGACACGTTTCCGCCGCGACGACAGAGCAGATTCGCACTCCCATCACCGATCTTTTCAAGATCAAGCACCCGATTCTCCTTGCCGGCATGAACGTCGCCGCCGGTCCCAGGCTGGCCGCTGCCGTCACCAACGCCGGCGGTCTTGGTGTCATTGGTGGTGTCGGCTACACACCGGAAATGCTGAAGGAGCAGATTGCCGAGCTGAAGGAGTACCTCGACGACAAGAACGCCCCCTTCGGTGTCGATCTGCTCCTCCCTCAGGTCGGCGGTAGCGCCCGCAAGACCAAGTAAGCTTACCTCTTCCTTTTTAGGATAAGACGGTGCACGTATCGCATCTCTTGACGTTACCGAGGCTAACCACCTGCTTCTCCAGCTACGACTACACCAAGGGCAAGCTCAACGAGCTCGTTGACATTATTATTGAGTCTGGCGCCAAGCTGTTCGTCTCCGCCGTCGGTGTCCCCCCCAAGCAGGTTGTCGACAAGCTGCACTCTGCCGGCATCGTCTACATGAACATGATTGGTCACCCCAAGCACGTCCAGAAGTGCCTCGATCTCGGTGTTGACATCATTTGCGCTCAGGGTGGTGAAGGTGGTGGTCACACTGGTGACGTTCCCACCACTGTTCTCATCCCCGCCGTTGTCGACCTTTGCAAGAACCACCGGAGCCCTCTCCTCAAGGGCCCTGTTCAGGTTATCGCCGCTGGTGGTATCCACAACGGTCAGCTCCTGGCCGCCTCGCTGATGATGGGCGCCGGTGCTGTCTGGGTTGGTACCCGCTTCATTCTGACTGACGAAGCCGGCGCCCCCGAGGCGCACAAGGAGGCCGTCCGCACCGCTGGCCACGACGACAACATCAAGACCCTTATCTTCACCGGTCGTCCTCTGCGTGTCCGCAAGAACCCTTACATTGAGAACTGGGAGAATGAGCGTCAGCAGGAGATCAAGGAGCTCACTGCCAAGGGTATCATCCCTTACGAGGCTGACCTCGACAAGCTCATGAACTCTGGTGACAGCGAGGGCGGCAGCAGCGACGCAGATAACAACGCTTCCGAGGTTGACATTGATGACGCCCTCGACCAGTTCCGCCCCTTCCTCATGGGCAAGGCTGCCGCTGTCTGCAACGAGAAGAAGCCCGCGAAAGCCGTCATCGACGAGTTCGTCAACGACGCCGTTGCATGGCTGCAGAAGGGCAACAAGATGATTGCCAAGCTGTAAATCTGTAAAAACCTCATGTTTCTATTTATGAGTCGGTCGCATCTTGGGCGGCGTCAGGGCATGTCCGGGTCTGGCGCCCACCCAGGGCTTGGAGTTATGATGCTCAAGTTTTGTATATATCAGTGACGATCTAGGATGAATGACTGCTAGCATATCATGAATGATTTACATACATTTCCTCCCCCCCTTGCTTGTCAATGAGATCCCCGTGTCTGTGCTTCAATTGATTTTCTAGACATGAGCAAATGCGGTCAGACGGCGATGCCAACGGGTGCCTCGGTCCGTGCGTCGCTGTCATCGCACTCTCTTGCGCCCAAGCCTCGAGGAAACTCTGTGAATATAAAACCTTGCAGGTATGGGAAGTGGATACTTCACATGCTTTTCTGCTGTGCCAACTGTAGCCGCCAGAGGGCAACTCCAAGTATTAAACACACCAAGCCATCAGGGTCACCACAAACCAGCCCCCGTCTATCCATGATGCGGTGGTAACAGCGAAACTTAAATCTATTCATTCATGTTTGTGTATTAAAACTAACCAAGTAGCAGCTTCATCACTCCCCTTCGCCGGCTCTGTACGCTTCATGTACTGGGATGCATCAAACAAATGCCCCCAGCATGCGTTTTCCCCCCCTACCTGCCAGGCCTGAGACTCACTTGACAGTCCGTACGTGACGTGGCGCCCGTGGTATCGTTTCTCGCATCCGCATGACAATTTGCAACGTTCCGGTTCTTTTCCTCACTGGCCCCGTGTAGGATCCCAAGGACGGCCCTCTCCAATAACGGGCTATGGGCGCATCTCTGGAAAATTGGTGGCAAAGTGAGAGGGGGGAAGCAACATCGTTCTCGTTATTGCAACTTCCTTGCCACTATCGTCCGCTCAGCTTCCAAGGTAAGCGCGGATGGCACCCTGCAGCTTCTGGCTAGCCTCGCCTGCCAACTGAGTAAGGTTCTCGAGATCGTCACCAGCCGTGATGCCGAATTTGCGAATGAAGTCTTTGGCCGCGCCCTCGAGGTCGCCATACTCCTCCGCGGACTCATCCTCAGGACGGCCGAAGTATGCGTTGGACGAGATGGAAGTAGCACCCTCGAAACCTTGCAAACGAGTCTTCGCCTCAGACTGGACGCTGGGGTCAAACGAACCCTTGCCAAAGAACTCGTCGGAGGAAATGCCCTTCTGGGTACCGAACTTGCTGCGAGCATAGTTCTCGCTGTCATCTGCCATGTTGTTAGTCACGCGTGCTTCGAGTCATGGTGAAGTCGAGTGAGTTCCCTACCCTCAGCCTTGGCCTTGATGGGACCAACAGAGCCGAAGCCACCCGCGGCGGCCTTCTTGGGTGCTGCGGCACCCTTAGGCCCACCAACCTGACCAAAGCCCAGCCTGGCAACACCCATGCCCAAACGCTCTACTTCAGCGTTGGACTTCTGGCGGGTGTGGCTGGAGGACCCATAGCCGCCCTGGGGGCTGGTAGGGGTGGGAGCCGCGACGGGGTCCGCCTTGGTAGAAATCTTCTTCTCCTCCTCGGCCTCGGGATCATAGCCCAGCTTCGCGATGCGCTTGGCCTCCTCCTTGGCCTTCTTCTCGGCTTCATCGAAGTCGATGACGTCGCTTGCGACCTTCTTGACACCAAGCTTGGGCGCCTTCTTGGCACCAAGAATGTTGACCTTTCGGGGCGCTCCAGTGGTGGCCGTCTTGCGAAGGGCGGCGGAGGTGGTTACGCGGCTGGCAGCGGGCTTGTTGTCGGCCTCAGGCTTGGACAAAGGAGAGGCAGACCGAGAGATATCCTTGCCGGCACCGTTGTTGGCGTTGAGGAAAGGAGAAGGAGTTCGGCCGACGGTCGGAGGGGTCGCTGTGCGGGATATAGGAGGGGTGGGTTTCTTGATGGAGGGTTTGTCCCAAGATGAGAAGAAATCATCGTCGGGCTCTCCAGCAGGGGTCGAAGCGTCGGCATCGGCGGTGTCGTTGATAACAACCTCACCGGGGTAACTGGGCAATCAGCTGGTCGCTCATGTGATGAATGTATTGCCATTACGTACTCTTGAGCATCTTTTGCTGCGCGGCGCTTCAACTCGTCCTTGTACTTGGTCGCAACGTTGGATTGGTACTTGGTCTTGGGGTCCTTGCTGTTGAGAGCGGCAGTTCCTCCGTTCTGCTGGAAGAACTTGGTTGCCGACTCGTTGCCGCCCACCTTCATCATACGGAGCTGATCCCATTGCCACTCTATCGCAGGAGTTAGTTTAGGGGAAGGACGAGCATTGCGGTCGGATACATACGGTCGAGATTGGTGGATCGGACGAAGGAGATATGGACACCCAGATTTCGATGGTTGGACGAGCAATCAAGACAGAGGTAGATGCCAAAGGGGACCGATGTCCAAGTCGGGTACTTGGCGCCACAGTCGAAGCAGATCTGCCGTGCGCGATCTCGTCAGCAGTGAACTGCAGTCCAAGTCCTGGAAAGAGGGCGGGATTGTTGGGCATACCTTGTTCGCAGGCTTGGTCTTCAACTTCTCAAAGATCTTCAGCGACTGCTGCTTGGAAGCGAGGGCAGCCATGGCGACGGTACGTGCAACAGATCAGCTGTGGGTTTTGTTGTCCTGAAGTTGAAAGCGCAACCGCTACCGAGTTGTAGGTTGGAAGGGCGAGGAGGAGGTGCGGATTGCGGGTATATGTGGATGCGCCAGAGCGATGCAGGGAGCGGAGATAATTGAATTTCGTGTCCAAAAGTTCAGGAGGCAGTCGCCGCCCTTCGGTGAAGTGGTATGTATAGAGAGCGCTAGTCCTGATCCGGCTAGTTTTGCTTCCCCACAGTGGACTGGCAGATCGGATTCTGCCAAGGGCGGTCAAGAGGCTTTTGCAAAGCTCACCTGGCCCAGCCAAGCTAGGTAGTATACGAAAGCTCCATCATTCGACTGCCCGAGCTCTTCCACGACCACTCATCTAGCTACTGCGGTCGCACGATGGCCGACGCCAAACCGCCATGATGAAGATGAATACACGTGCGATCGCAATTCGTGCACCTACGGGATTGGGCCTTGGGCCTCGACTACAACCCTTGCTACTACTCCAGAGGGGCTATGCGACACAGACTGGTCTGGGAACAACGTCTGCGCCTGGGTCGAAACGGAAAACAGTCACTCCCTTCAACGATAACGGATCGGTCCCTTGGTCGCAACTTTCGACGGGAGAAAAAGCGGCTAGGGCGACGCAACAGAGCTTCAACTTCGGGTTGATTCTGGCCGGTCTGGCAGTGACGGCAAGTCATACAACCTTTTACCCCGCGGCAAGCCTCCGCTAACGCTTGGTGCGACGGTACAGAGCGGCGTGGTTTATGTCTTATGGTCTGATGTATTCTCCCCGGACAGCAAGGTCGCCCATTACAACCGCGTTGTCGACAGGATTAAGAGTGATCCGAAATGCATTGAGATGCTCGGAGACCCAAAGAAGATTTCGGCGCATGGGGAGGAGACAGGTAACAAGTGGCGGCGGGCTCGGCCAATTGCGTACGCTGCTAGGATCGGGAATACCGTTTGCAAATAGCTAACTGAAACAGCTCAACAATCAACACCGATTCGAGAGGACACGAGCATCTGCTGATGCACTTTCATGTATGTAACTCGGGGTATTCCGGCTTGACCTCCTGCTAAGAATGTCTTAGGTCGAAGGCCCCCTCAATAAGGGCGTCGTTTACCTGCACATGATTAAAACGCCAAGCGCCGGCGAGTTTGAGTACAAATACCTTTACGTCGATGTAAGAGGGCAACAGAGATACTACCTGGAGAACGCGGATACTGCGACAGGCTCCGGGAAAAGGGGGGTCAGGTTTCTCGGTATCAATTGGGGCTGATTGTATGGTAAATCTGGTGGGTTGATAAGGGACATGGCCGGGAGGCGTTCTCTGCATACTGTAAGATAATAAAGTCCACGTTGGGGGTTGGGGGATAAAGATGTGTAGTGCTTGGTTCAGGGATAGCAACCCATCTTCAAGTTTAATGTTATCTCCCAGGCACAACCGGGCCCAACCTACTCAGGAACGCCTGCTCTGGACGCTGCCCGTTTAGTCCTGGGTGTACCAGCTCGAGCTTGTAGCCCAATCTCCTAGGCAACCTATGCTTACCACGGCTCTTCAAGACAAAACCCAAGGGTGACACTCAGTGCGAAAATATTCAGATACGGGCTCCGAGGCAGTTGACCAGTGAGTTCCAGCCTTGGACATCTACATCTCGTTTGCTCCCTGGATGCTTTCCGATTACTAACATCTGCTTGCGAATCTGCAGCATATTTCGTCCTCTCTTGATTAGATGATTCTAACAAAGATTCGGGAGAGGACATTGCAGCAGCGATTGTTGCGTAGTATACAACCCCAGCCAGATCATATCTGTACTGCCCAACCCACCGCTTTCCTTCTTGAGTTCGGATTCTATGAGTGATAAACGCTACGTTAACAAAGTTACCAAGCGCAGCTGTCTCGATCACGGTTGGCCTTGTTAGTGTGTCTGCGTCGTTGGGAAGCCACACGGTGGACTGAGAGGAGACTCGGGATAGCTCGGATAGAGGAGTTACTCTGAGTATATGGAAGAATCGAGGCATGGTTCCTAGCTGCCTGATTCTGCTTCCAATTGCTTAGGTTGTTTTCAGAGTCAGCGTAGAGAAATGTGCTGCAGACCAAACCCTTCTTGCAAGTTATAGGTTTATGACGGAATATGTCGATATGTAAGCATAGGATGACTAGAAAGAACTCAGTCAAAAATGTTGTATCCTGGCTGTATACGATGATTGTTCAACAAATGACTATCCGTCGATGCACCAAAGCTTTATAACCGATGATCCATCGGACCCAAGCAGTGATCATGGAAGAACCGAGGGCTATTCTTGCGTAGAATCACAGTGGTTGTTTGGGAGCAGATTATTGAACTCTTTCATTTCATGCCTACCGTTTTGAAAAGGGAGGCCATCGCCAACTCTGCTACGTTGAATTTACATATGAATGCTTTTAGATAATAGTACCATGGGCAAGGTAACTGGCCTAAGCCGGGGGGCAACAAGGACTCTGAAAACTAGTGAAATGTTCGAGTACACACGGATGGTGACTATTGTGACCCTGGTAGGTGAAGCAGTCCATACGCATTTTGCCAGGAGACCAACCACAGGCTCGATGGTATCTTTTTCCGGACAATTCGGCTATTACGTATGACCTCCAATCGTCAAAGTCAACAGGACTTGTTAATTCTACTCTTGCTATGATCTCCTCTTACACACGACAAGTTTGAGACCTAGTAGACGCTAGCAGATTCATGGCAAGCAATGGCCCCAGGACAGAGACTTGGGCCATGCCCTTGTTTTCCATCATCCCGGAGTTGTTGCATTGGTATTTGAGCTCTGTATGGCCTGCGCATAAAACTCTTGGAGTTGACCCGCTGCATGGTGCCACCTAACGCCGTGAGCTTTCAGGTTCGCTGTCTATGTCAGCGTCTCAGAGAGGCGTAGAAAGAATCCGAAGACAGGATAAGTATGAAGAGCATGTATATAAACCAACAACTTCCAATTTTGGTTGGGTTTTTACGTCATAGCGATAAACCGGGATGATGTCTTGTTTAGTTCAAGTACTCTTTCGTACATAAGCCAGCAATAAACGCTGCGTTGGAATAGTAGGAACAATTGGGCTGTAGCAACCCTCAGATATTCGAATGAACCAGTCACAGCGAGGACAAGTTGACAAGCAAGCCGAAACATATGCGGGTTTCTGTGCTGTGCAAGTCAGGTCGTCTACTGTCACCACCCCTACTGCTCACTTCATGGTCGTCGGCCTACCACAATCCCCGGTTGTCTCTCAACCTGAGCCTCAGATATACAATATGCACAGACGAAGAAATCAACAAGTGAATTCGTAACTTCTCACTACATATCTGCTTTAGATCCGGCCAGAAATACACGGCCGAACCAAACCTCTTTGGTCATTCCTGGCCCATGCAGTAGCTGGCTCAATGCAACGTCATTCATACAGAAGGATAGTTATATACTGGGCATCAGAAAGCCAGAAGATAGGTTTACACTAACATGTATTTCCGGTATTCTCGGTGTCCGAATTGCGTCCCATGTAAGTAACCCACTCACTAAGAGTGCTAACCGGCGTGTAGATGAACCCTTCCTTCGGCCCGAAAATCCCGCAACACAGCCTTTGTTACACCGGGAGGCACACAATGACCCCCGCGGGAACATGTAACGGGTTACGGGACGTAGGCCCCGGGAGATCCAAGATCGTGGAGAGGCTGCAGATGCGGCTCCTGGCCGACATGCCAGCGGGCACTGCGGTGGTGTTGTGAAGCAGAAGGGTTGGTGAGGTCATCAACGGGAGCATGCGGGGAAAACTGGGGGGGGTGTACATGAGAGACGGGACGAACGCCTGTTGAGAGGGTGTGATGGCGTATCCCTCGTTAACTAGAAACGCCGAGACAACACATTGAGGCGTCTTGGCCTGGGTGAACCAAAACGGCAGTGCAGGCGACCATTTGGGGAAATGGCATGTATCCAAAAGGAACGGATGCAGTTTCGGGCCACTCCAGCCGCTTTGTTTGTTGCGGCCGACTCGCATTCTCACCCGGCTTATGAGCCGAGTAGTGCGGTAAGTTTGCTATCGCAAAAGCTTTCACAACGGGGCAATGTCCCAGGCAGTCAGGCGCTGGCCGGGCTGGGCGGGACAGATACCATGCCGTATCGAGGGCACGCTCGTATCGATGTAAGCTCCAGTTACCTCCATAGTCGTGTACATCTAGGTGCCCAAGGAAGCAGGTGCTGAATGCACACGGAGGCGCCGACAGTGAGCAGGGCTTCTGATTGAGGCGGCAAAGGTGTAGGGATAAAGGCACTGATGCAGGGGGCTTTCACGAGCTTTCCAGGCATGGCATCCAAACAGAGGAGATAGGTAAGTAAGATCAGACTCAGGGGGCGGCGTTTCGCGAGCCTGACCAGAGTCAGCGCACTCGGTGATATGCCGCAGGGGGTTGTTTTGTCAAGTTACTGCGTAGGTAACAAGAACAGCCGAGAGGACTGTGAGAATCCAGGTTGATTCAGGCCAGAGGCAGCACCGAGAAGGGGGGGGGGGGCGTGAGGGAGGAAGTGTGGAGTGTGTCGGCGGCAGGTAGTCCCTATGGGATCCCCTACAAATTTCGCCATCATGGATACCCATGTCCCAGCTTCAGTACCGGTACGGGATTGGGGAGACGAGAGCTGGGGGCTCTATCACACTATACCTAGATAGACGGGTGTGAATCTTGTGCTCGACGAGGACGACAAGGGTCGGGACGAGAAGGGAAGCCAGCGGGTGAGGTGACAACGGAAAGGCCAAAGGGGTATCGGAGCCAGGGTTCGGTTCGAATCGAAATTCAGATACCAAAACCAAATCATGGCGGAAGTACGGATACACTACGTAGTAAGTCAAGAGGACGAAGGGGGTGGCCACCATCACATTCGCACCACCCTCGACCTCAGTCGGGCCAAGACCCCCCCGCCTAACCTGTTTGGGGAGCATCTTTCAATGTTTTCCCCACAGATAAGGTCAGTCTGTCAGATCCTGCTGTCCCAACAGCGGCACTGCCCCCCGTACCCTGTTACCCCGGGCTTCCTTCCTCCACCTCACCGCACACAGGCCATACTATTCGTACGTGTAACAGTCCTGAACCGTGGAGAGCGTGTCTTCTCTTTCTTTCTCTCTCCGAGAACTAGCACCCGCTATTAGGGGGAGATGGAAGGGGAATACCGTATCATCTCACTTACGCCTAGGTAGAAGCTTGGTCAACTCATCCACGGCTTCTTCGGATGCCTCATACGATCCGAGTTACCCAGACCATCATCATCTATCTTCGTCGCGGTGCAACATCGTCAACCTCCAGCATGGGGAGATTCACCCAGGGTCTTCCAACAGCTTCTCTCGCCCGCAATCAGATGGACGGAATCATGCACGCACGGGAGGCAGAGTTTCCCCTGAACAGAATGGAACGCAAACTGCCTGTGCAGCTCGGCAGACTCGACGGCCCTGCAAGGGGTGCAATCTGGAATAACTAGCCAGAATGAATCGACTATTCGGATACCGTTCCGGCTCTGGTAGCGATGATGCCACTATACACGTAACCCTTGTGCCCCATTCAGCCGATACTGAGGCCAAGCCCGTCCCGGTGTTCCGGTCGCCTGCGCATTTAGCCTACCACTAGTGACTGGTTATATGATACCGATACAGCTAGAGTCTCTCTCTCGTCAATGGTGTATAGAACGCGGGGGGAGTTGAGGCCTGGAACGGCCGATTTCAAGTGTTCGAGTCGCAGCAAGCTGTTACATGTACGGATAGCGTTGGCCCAATAGAGCCATGATCTACCACTTCTTCTTCATCATCCACGAAAAAGATTGGCGCGCCAATCAACGGCCTCGGCACCCCTCAAAACAGACAACCCTGTCGCTTGCCTGTGTGGCTTCACCCGTAATAGATGCACCGGTCAGACCAGACACTGACTGATATCAATAGCGGCTTGCCTTGTGGCCAATGACCTGGTTGCATTCAACCCTTTTCTCACGAAGGAAGGGGGACTAACTCGCGGAAATGTCATGGTTGGGCGATGGCGACAGGTCGAAAACGCTGGACGCCACTCGTTACAGAGGATCATGTTCCCAGGCTCTAAACGACGCACGCCGTGATGCCGTCCTTCCCAGGAGCAAGCTTCACCCGGCAAAGCGAGTAATTTAACCATCAAATGCTATGCATCCCAGAGGACGTGCCATACCTAGGATGTTGCCGCAACCTAGTTTCCCCGGACATGTGCATCGCTATCAACATCCAACACGCACGATGAGCTATGA